TATGTTGCTACAGCGAACAGGGTTTGATCGCTAATGGCATGAAAAAGATCATTTCTATAAGTTTTTATTACAAGCTTTTATTAATTTTGAACTAGTTTGTCTGGGCTGTTGTTTGTATGAATCCAAGACCAATGCACAAAGGGAGTGATGATGAAGATGACTGAGATAATATCGTGGTCATAGCTTTGAAGAATTAGAGTATTAGAGACAATTATTTGTTTTTCTTCTTTAGCATGCTGAATCCTTAAGGTTCATTGCTGCCAATATCACCAACCTCCATTCTTCACTGTGACTGGACTTCTTTTTCCAGTTGGTGACTCTAAATCTAGGTTTATAGTATCTCCCCACTTTCTTCTTGGTCTGCCTCATGCTCTCCTCCAATTCAACTCTTTTGAGTACAGTTTTCATCTCTTTGTTATCTGCTATTCACTCTAAACATGGTAGTCTGTTAGCCTTAATAAAACCAGTGATTAATAGTGAAATAAACCAATTATTATTTTCTTTGTTGCTTCTAGAAACAGTGAACAGATGGACAGAAAGCTAATATGGGTAGTATGAATGACATGGAAGACAACTGGTGATTGAACTTCCCTTCCTCCCCCCACCCACACACACAACCCCCACCCCCCCCCCCCCCACCCCCTTTCTCTGTCCATACAAAAAAAAACGACAACAAATGGTTGTGTGGGAACAGCAAACAAGTGTTGATGATGATGTTAAATAAAGAAGACATAAAACTGCACTACATCAATCATATTTATTATTGTTTAAAGTCCTTCTCTCTCACATCACAAACATTCAGATTTACAGTTTTAGCTCATCAAATGCTTCTTGCATAAACAATCAAGGGATTTTCACTGCACATCCACTCTAGAAATAACTGATTATTCATCGCAACAAATTAATCTTCACACATTCTATAAAAAAGCCTCTTTATACCTTTTCAGGAAACTTAAACCTCACCTACGTGAAATCATGTATGCCCTCACAAGTAGTAGAGTAGATTTGTACCTAACCAAGACATCACACAACCGATAAACACCCGATGACACAGAGTGCCACCATGTGGATGAGGATCACCGTGGAGAGGTCCCTGAAACCGCGTTTCAGCCACTAGACCATATTTATGGTCGGGCTATATTGTGGCCCCTGGCTAGAGCCAGGGTGGGGCTTCAAAATAGAGAAAAATTGCATCTCACAAGGAGATGACGGGATTAGCCCTCACAAGAAGGTGAAAATGCACAAGAGGATTGGAAAAAGAACTCCATTATCACTTTAAGAAATATAATGACACACACATTGTTAGAAAAGAAACTAATGATTTTAGAAGAACTGCACAAATTCATCAATATACAGTCAAAATAATGTACTTGTGGAACATACTTTTGTAACTTGCTATTTTACATGCAAGCAAACAAGAATCAAGAATAAGTAGTCTGTTTACAAACAGTTAGTTAAACTTAGTTGTGTTTCCTTTACAGGACATTGCAGAACCAACAAACGCAGTTTTTGGCTGATAATCCAATGCAGAGTTAACACTCAGACACAAGATTTTGTCTGTACAGACAAGGCACCGGGGTGAAGCGAGAATCACAAAGAGTCAAGTTTTAAGCCCGGTCCTAATCGGCGAGCAACCCATGTGTCTACATGGTCATGTAGATAGGTCACATGGGCTGAACTTGTACAAGTCTTAAGAATGGGGAGAGTTGCAGAGAAGGCCATCCTACTGTGCGGACGAGTTGCTCCTTGCTTGTGTTTTGGCTCGCGGGTATATGCCGTGGAGATTAAATGCGATTTACAAAGTCTGGAGCCAGTTCATTATGTTGTGCCTTTATAATTGAATTTATTATTTAGCAGCAAGGTTGAGTAGATATAATTCGGACAGTGTCTGTTTTTGCTGTAACTTGCTAGCCGGTCTGATTGTAGTCACTTGAGAAGGTGTGTCAGCTAGTGGGTCTTTTGACCGCAGCAATAATTTGACTGTGTTCCCTGAACACCACTTGTGATTAATGCAAAGGAAACATGAGCTAGGGTTGTGGATGTAAGATGTTTATGTGCCACTGCATTATGGTGATGACATTGTGCAATGATATGCATCTGGTCAAAATGGACGCTAGGCACGGTCACTATTTTGAGTCGTGGCAAAGTATTTGCATTTTGCTCTATTTGTAGACTGTAAAGATATAGTTTCGTCGCCCAGCTACTGAGTTGAGTGCATGGTGAGACTCTGTGAGCTGTAGATTCCATTTGGAATGTTTTTTGACTGTGACTAATGTGGTGTTGTGAATTAAAATGTAAAAAAATGGCGCGTGGAGTGTCATCGCAATATTGGTGGTACCCTTATGTGATTAAAATTGAACGTGTGTGCAACTGCTGATTTGTTGGTTACTTCTGCTACCATGAACTGCATTTATAATGTGGGACTGTTTGTTCTAGCACTTCTGATATGACTACCGTATGCTTTTAATGCGTGTGTATGCTAGTGCATATGCTGAGACAGCAGTCTGTTAATCTTTCCACAAGGGACTGTGATGAACATTTTGTGTGTTTTTCATTGGCACAGGAGTGGAGCAACTATGAGGTGACCTGTTTACTAACATTAGCATATGCATTTTTTCATCCTTATTTGTGTGTGCTGGTAGGCACATATTTTTTGTTAAATAAAACTAATGTGAAGGTATTCAGTGTGTTGTGGTCACTACTGGGCTGGACTGTACTGTAGCCTTGTGTTTGTGAACTCTGAGTATCATTAATAGCTATTTGATTTAAGGAAGCTGTCAAAGCTGAAAGGCTTATGGCTAAATATCTACATGGCAGCCTGAGATGTCGCATAATTTACTCCAGCCTGTGGCTGGCAACAGCAGCTTCCTAACAGTATTAAAAGAGGACAAGCATGCAGAAACTGGCAGCAGGATAAAGGAAGAAGATATACCAGTAAACTCCTACAGGGTACAGTGATCATGGAGACATTGAGATGGCTACTGTTTAAAAGGATGGAGCATGAATGGGTCAAGCTGATGTGCTAGTATGTTGATATGGACTACAAGTAACTTTACCAAAATAACAAACAGTGAATGCTACAGCCATGGTTAGAACAGGACAACATTTAAAAAAGAGAATAGAAATATGTTCACTGGGGAAATGAAATCACTGAACAAAACAATCCATAGAAACAAAACAATTTACAAGCTAGCATATTTTCCACTATAAAAAAAATCTTTCAGTTACAAACTATAAAAATGACATGATACACATAAAGTCATACTTTGTGCTGCAATCTGATGTTTAATAGTATAGTTGATAGTGAAGGTTCAGAAAATATCCTAAACTCAGTTCACATCAACACATCATAAGGGCCTCTACCTCTTCAAAGTCCAAAATTAAAATTGTTTGCTTCCCTCACTCTCCACTTTACTCCATCCTCTTTGGCCAAAATAATTTCTCTGGAAGCATGTAGAAACAAATAACTCTCTTTAAAAATGAAACTATTCTGGTTTATAATGTGCTTTTCTTTGGGTACCATTCAGGGACAATCATTAGCACACTGTGAAAACAACCCATTAGTTTGTCAACCATCTCCATCAGATTACATAAGAAAATGTTCCAGCTCAGCGCCCAGACTCTGTAACACTGATAAGGATCTTATATTTCTTTTGGATGGAGGCTCCTTTCCATGTAATTAAGTGTATCTTGTGCTAGTCCCATATTTGTACAGGCTAAAAGGCACTTAACGGGTGAAGTAAAATACATACATTCTGTAAATATTCTGTTGCGGGAAGTTCCCTAATTTTGGCATATTTACCACAGCAGTAGTCGTACAGATTATAATCTGAAAGATTTTCAACTGCATTGGGAAAACTAGACAACGATGCTTATCTGTATGAAACACTGAGATTTGGCCACTTCTCTTTATAGAAAAGGATACTTGCTTTCTTTTGTAAACACATATCAAAATATTGCACTAAAAGATTTTCAAACAGCAATCATGCATCGCCAGCACACTACTAAGTTTGAAAATCTCAGACACTACCATTTAGTCAACTCTTTACTTATTCTGTAACTCAGATATCGACCTTTTTTTAGTGCTTTTTCATTGAGACTTTTTTTTACAGCTGCGCAGGTAATTTAATCTTGCAAAGACTCTGATTTAAGTTTCTGCCAGCTAGGACTATGCCAGCACTGGAACAGTCTTCCACAAGTAGTTACTGTATTTTATGGACTACAAGACACTTTTTTTCTTAGAGAAATAGCCTCCAAAATTCAGATACATTTTTGCTTGAAACTATTTAAATTAAAACTTCCACTTTTTTCTTAAAAATAAAAGAGACCATATTTTTAATTCCCTAAAAAACATTTGAAGCTTTCTGACAATACTGAACTTAATACCTTTGGAGACCATTTTAAAGAGGAGAACAGTGATTTTAATGGCGAACTAGGAAAAATTCGAAAGCTCAGATAAAATGTCCTGGGATTTTTAAAGGGCAGTTTTAGTTTGATTTCCTAATATAAAGGTAACAGTATTTAAACTGACACTGTGAACCTATAATTAATATGCTAATTTTTTTAAACTATTCTAAAACTATATGACTGACTATTGTTTTACCCCACCAAGACATCACACAGTGCGATAAACACCTGGTGACACAAAGTTCCACCATTCGGATGAGGATCACCCGAGGACAGCTCCCAGAAATCCCATTCAACCAATAGGTTGGGTTATAATAGGGCTCCCGTAACAGCCAGGGTGTGGCTTTAAAACAAACAAAAATTTCTAAATTGTAGGTGTGTTTTACAGTACACAGTATCCGATAGTCCCATAAAATATGGTAATTACCACTATAACATGTCACATGTTGCTTATTTTAACACCAACCTAAGAATATTTTGATCTGTGCCAAAATGAGGTGACCAGTACATCTGCAGAATTTTCCATGATGAAACCTGCATCAGACCTGCTGTAACAAAAACTGGTCATGGAAAATCCCTGAAACAATTTAAGCTTATTCTTGATCTTGCAGAAAGCCCTCTTCAGCTTGTTGTATAACTTCATCCGGATTAGCGAGCTTGATCTATATGAAAGTCAACAGTATTATTTTAATACAAAAGAGATACATGTAAATAAAGTAATTTACAATGTTGATACTAAATCATCATACAATTTTTGGCTAGCACTAGATGCCCAATGAGTCAAGGGTATAAAAAATTGTCTTTTACTTTTTTCATTTTGACTTATATTGAGGCAGAAGTGAAGGCCTTGATTTTCAAGAATTCTGTAGAGGTTACACATCATCTACACAGATTGGTCTGTGATGTGCCATGTGAGAAGCTCGTGGGCTTTCATGGCTCAGGTTGGAGTTAGAACTGTGAAGCAAGATTCTGGTGCTTTCACCTTGACTGCGAGTAGTCTGACAATGGAGGCCTTGGTTTGACCAAAGCAATACATCACTGAAGATGCAAACATTTACCCACGCATGTTTTTTCTGTGACTCAATGAGCACGCTCAGGAAAATAAAGATGGGCTTGGTCTGAAGACATTGGCTGGAGTCTCTGAGGTGATTTGGGCTGACACATATCAGTTACATAGACGTCTGTGGGAACCAAGAGGTGACTGTGAATCTGCAACCATATCCTGCAAGAATAGCATGTTAAAAGGAATGTGGCCAGACAAAAGTACCATGCAGGAAGCCAAAGAAGAATAAGAAATCAACCAATGTCATCAGCCACTACAAGCTGTGGGATATGCTGAGGAGGGGATCTGAGCATTTATGGATTGAATGGTTTAATATGCAGTTAGGACAATTCGTCGACTAACTAACAAACTTAACTTCTTATATGTATAAGTTAAGTTGAAATGAAAACCTTAAAAGTGTGATAGAAATTACAGTAACCATGCCATTGTCTTGTAACCTGTCAATACTGTTGGTAAGGATGTCAAGAGTGTTGAGCACATAACATCATGGTGTGGACAAACATGGTGGCATGACAGTTTAAAGATGGACTCCCCCGTTTTGACATGCACCGGAGAGGAGCAGTGTTCTGTTATCAGTTTTTTTTTTAAAATCAGTGTTTACTGTAATTACTATCACAACATTTTGGATGTTCTCAGTTGTTGTTTTTTTAAATCAGTGTTTACTGTAACTACTATCACAACTTTTTGGATGTTCATGTAAGGCTTCCTTGTATATTTATGTGTCATTCCTTTAAAAACAACATCTACATCACTCATCTGCTTTGAGTCAATGGAATACCTTGAAGATAAGGTTAATCAAAAGCAAATACTGTTGTAGAAATATGACAGATCATGCCTTCACATGTTTCAGACCACTGGGAGAATAAGAAACAAGATGGTCTGACCAGTTCCCTTTCTTTGTCAAATTTCTTACCCACATAATTCCCTAACACCTCCTGTAAGTTTCCAAGACAAATCCTTAACAGCTCTTGTAACTTTACCAGACAATTCCCGAACACCTCCGGTAACTTTCCCAATTTCCATACGCTTCCTGTAACATTCCCAGACAATTCCCTAACACCTCCTGTAACTTTCCCAGACAACTCCCTAACACCAACTTTCCCAGACAATTCCCTAACACCTCCTGAAACTTTCCCAGACAACTCCCTAACACCAACTTTCCCAGACAATTCCCTAATACCTCCTTATTTTTTTCTTCTTCACGTTCACCAGCTGTAAACTCTGGCAAAAAGTTCTGGTTGTTCATCCACTTCTGGACTGCAGTCCTGTTCCAGAAACTGAGTGTTGGGTGTGCATCCATTTTACAGATCTGAGTGATCTGTATGCAGATTGCTGGTTCCCTGCCTCTCAGGCAGATGCACTCTGACTTTGAAGGAAGCTCCCAATTAGTTGACTCTTATGACATGCTTTTGGGTAAGCAGTGGGTCCATTCTTGTTTTTCCTATTATAGGGCCCAGGAACCCACACAGGGAAATACCTCCTTAGATTTCCCAGACAACTGATTTCCCAGACAACTGATTAACATCTACTGTAATTTTCCCAGAAAATCTTCCAACAATTTCTGTAACTTTTTCAGAAAAGGTTGCCTGGAAATGGCTAATGAAAGTAGAAAATTATATTCAACAATGAGAAGGAGTTCTTTGGACATGTGATAAGAAATGAAGCACTTGAAAATATTGTGATGACTAGAAAGATCACTGGTAAAAGAGGCAGAAGCAGACCAAGAGAAATGATGGTGGATAGCTTAAGACAGTGGCGTGGAGGAATATCATCAGTGGAACTGATCCAAACAGCAAATACTGAGACCTGTAGGCTTGAAAGCCTATGCCAGCTGGAAGGGCACTTGATGATGATGATGGTACTATAATTTACAAAGTATAGCACCCTCCTCTGGAAAGATGGAAAGATGCAAACAAGTAATCTGCTGATATTCACCTACACTTACCTCAGGAATTGGATATGGTGTTGGCTCTGGAGCATAATCCCGGCCGAAGTCCCGCATTGTTCCACATTTAGGGACATCATGCTTCCACACACCTTCGAAAACCTGACCTGAGTCTAAGTAATAGAACTTTCCAGATCCATTCTTCTTGTCTTCTTTCCATGATCCCTCATAACGATTCTCAGTGGCTAGTGAATATATGTATGTATATATATATATATATATATCACAAGATAAAAAGATGAATAAATTATCTTTGGCCTGTTTCAAGATGGATGGTAAAAATTTCTTCTTTTTCTGCTCTTTGCTGTCCTGTGGATCTAAGAACCCAACCAACTCACACAATGTCAGCCAATCCTCTGCTACTGCGTGTTGCCTACCCTATTTCCTTCCCATCTTTCTAACTTCACTCTCTGTAGTTCCCTCCCAATTGTGTGTGTTTGTGTGTGTGTGTGAGGGGGGGGGGGGGTCTGTCTGTCTATCTGTAGTTCTATAAATCTATTGGTTGCAGTGTAAAGATCTACAAGTTTTTTTTTTTTTAAGGTTTTCTCAGTGTCTTCCTGCGGTATTTTTATTTTTTTACCTCCTGATTCACTAGAATTTGTTTAGTTTTTTCCCAAAGCTCCAAATTATAGATTTTATCATACCATTTAATTCCCTTTGTTCTGTGCAGGCACCAGTTTATGAATGTTTGTAGTTTATTAGTATTAGTTTAGTTGTTTTCCATGTTTCAGTTAAATGTAGCAGCACTGATTTAACACTAGAGCTAAATATTTTAAGTTTAGTGCTAATTATAATTTTTATTTTATTTCAATAAATTTTCTTGTGCTACTAAAAATGTCACCTTGCCTTTTGTATCCACATAGTTTCCTTGATCCGTCATAATGATTATCATTGGCTAGCAAAGGGGTTTCCGTGGCAAAGTGGTCAAGCCATTTGCCTCGTTCTCTGAAGGTCATGAATTCATTTCACGGTGGTGCTTTTCAGTTTTGCGAGTGCTCTTTTTACAGAGATCCCTGGGATCATCACCGGAGCTACGGAGGTCATGCTCTGTGCGACGCTTGTGGCAGGCAGCTAGCTGTTCAGTGGAGAGAGACTGAGCCATATGGGATAAAGCTTAGTGTGCAATGAAGTAGATCCTCTCACCTTTACCTGGCTAGCAAGTATATATTAAATAAAGTAAAGTAAAGGACCCTTTTCCACACCTTTCAGGCGTAATGGGTATATAGGGCAGGACTTATATGTTATAGACCAAATGACACTTGATGGGTGATGTGGTCTTCATCATGCCGGCCGCTTTTACTTCCCTGGACTGTGGCTGGTACCCACTCACGACTGGGTGGACCTGGGAGCCAAGGTCATTTTTTTTTTAAAAATCCGGCCCCCGTCAGGGACCGAACCTACGACCTTCAGATCTGCAGCCGAGAATCTACCAGCTAGACCGCAGCAGCTCGAGTATTAAATAATAAAAAGATAGTGAATGTTCTTTTTCCTCTCCCAAGATAGATGTTAACTCTTTAAGTACAGTTTATTGTGGTCCACATTTGAAATGAACTCTTTCAGTTACAAGCAGCATATGATTTATGGCTAATTCCCTCCCTCCCCTCGCCCCCCCCCCCTCAACCCCCTAATAAATCCTAACAATTGTGCAATCATACCCACAGAGCATGTTAAGAAAGGTGGAGACAGGCATGCTCCCATGCAGAGTGGTAAGCATCACTTCAGAGGTCCCAGATAGTTAGTGTTCTGCGGATACTTGTTCCAGGTCATGCAGGTGTTTTAGGAAACGAGCAGGCAGATAGACTGGCCAATTTTTGCACCACTTGGTGTGAATTGATGTATGACAAGCTAGATGTTGTGAGGGCTCTTTGAGAGCAAGTGAACAGTGCGGAGGCACAAATGGATCATTACCGTCTAAGGGGGAGTTACCAGGGGATCCTGTCGACGCTCAACACTCATGGAAAAGGCGAGATGGATGTACAATCAGACAATTACTTGTACCAATGGAACTGGAACTCTTCACTTGCTGCTAAAGATGGGGAAGGAACCCTTATGGGAGTGCCTTGAGTGCTACGATGTTGATTCTTGACTCAACATTCAACATTCAAAACTCAGTGGCCATCCAAACTATATGTGGAGCCCAGACCTGAACAATGAAAAGGAATTTACAAAGCTGAATTGATTCCCTTAAGATGTAGATTTATTGTAGAATATGCTGTATGTATTTTAGGGAAATAAAACATTAACATTAGGTTAAATGTTTTTACATAATTTATTTCAGCTTCCAGGTCAACTCATCCTTAAATGGGTAGCAGGTAATGTCCTGGGAAATAAAGGCAACCGACATATAGCTGACCACAACACCCTCCTCGTGCCACTTGGTGTAAAAAAATATGTATCTAGCATTACATGCTTTAAGGAGTGAAAAGGGTTCCTTTACATAAAAGACATGATATTCACGTAAATACAAAATTGAAGGGAAAAGTGGAAAGCAGATGAGCAAAAGGCAGAGAATGACAAATTTGAGGATAAAATCAACAGATGAATAAACAACTGCCTTTTAGAGTGTACAACCTGGTGAGTAACAGAAAGTGTCGGAGGTACATCGCAGCAATATTCACTGTGCAGGAGGTTGCATCAAAAGATTGGTTGATATTAGTTATTAGACAAGGAACCAGCAGTCTGTTTATAAATAAGCCAGCCCTTTAATACACAGGTGCGTGCAAAACTCAAGTTCTGGAATAAGACAAAAAGTCCAGAAGTGGATAAAGAACCAGAATTTTCCACAGGGGTTTACAGCTGATAAATGTTAACAAGAAAAAGAAGAAGTTACAGGCATTAACACTTACTTGTTTCATATACTTACTTAGCCTAAGCATCCCTTGACCACTGCGCTGGTCATCATACCATTCCCCTTCGTAGATTGTTCCATCTGCATAGTACATACGTCCCCAGCCTGACCTCTTGCCTGCATACCATTCACCTTCATAATACTCGGTTTCTGAATAGAACTCTGTGCCATAGCCCTGACAATAGTAATCAAATAAAACAGTTATAACATAGTTTTCTTTATCAACACTGAGGTATTGGAAAGAGCAGGCATTACAACAGTCTTCTCAATGTTGTGTGGATGGGGCACATCAGGAAGGGAATGAGAAAGGAGGAAACAATTATTGTAGAAACGATGAGAGCCAAACATCTGTGAGAAGAAACAGACTAAACACAAATGCTGACAACAATAGTCCCAAAATCTCATGCTATAAATTGTGGAAGACTTTTCCTAATGTGGACGGGTCTTGCTAGTCACACTCGCCATCGCCATGGGCTGTGAGCTTCATGCCTCCTCATAGCGCAATATAACACTATCATCTGTTAATAAAAAATTAAATGCATTGAATCCCACTACTTCATGAAACAAAAGATTATTCAGATTGAAGGGGAGCTGATGGTCATAGGTTAAAATCCCCATCAAGGGTTGATTAAAATAACACTTAACCTGCTCCCCAGGTCAGCCTAGTCAAAACTCTGTATCTGAAAATGTTCTGAGAAGCAAAGATGGCTTGCCTGCATACTGACCACGTACCTCATCAAGTGTTGATAGATTCATGAACAAATAAGGTGCAGTGTACCTAAAGACATAAATGAGTTCTTTACTTGCTGAATAACAAACTCTTTACATTTTATTATGAATGAGTAAAATCAAGAATTTGACATCAACTTACTCAGGACATTCCCATACTTACTCTAGCCCACTTCCCACAAGCCATACTGATAATGCCAGTTGCAACTGACTGGAAATTTGCCCTTTTTCCCCCCTGTAAACAGAAAGTCATCCAGACTCCGTGTTTGCTCCCAGATGAATCATTCTCTCTAGATTCTGATGCTGTGTCTGTTCTGTTGCACTGTTTGTTCAATCCCAGAGAGCCTTTACAGCGCCAACTTTATCACAAAGCGGCCCACCACCCAGACAGGTGGCAGCAGCCAGTCTATGAGCATGTTTATTACTACACACACTCGATTGTCCTAGGCAAAAACATCCATGATATGCTTCTGGTTTGAGTTTTGATGCAAGCTAGTCCGAGTGCAAGACACTCACTTCTTTTTTCTTAAGCATACTCTGTGAGTCTGTTAAAATTACGAAGTGTCAAGTGTAACACTCTCCATCAGAAAGCTGCTGTTATTGCTTCCACCTCCATTCTCATAGCAGACATTACGATGATGCAAGTGAGGTTCTCTTTTTTTTTTCTTTTCTAAACAGCTTCTATTCTCCTTTGCAATGAAACCCCATCCATTTTGTTTACCTCCCACTGACTGACTGACTTTCTACCCCACCAGGACATTACACAAGTGATAAACACCCAATGACACAAAGTGCCACCATGCAGATAAGGATAGCCGTGGAGAGGTCCCAGAACCCGTGTTCAGACAATTGGCCATATTCATGGCCTGCCTATATTGCGGCCCCTGGCAAAAAAAAATTTCGTCCTAAAAAGGAGAACACTTCCTCCTCCCACTACACATCCATCTGTGTATGTAACAAGATCACTTGGATGTTAAATTTCATTGGTCAGTTGTTGCACCAATGCCTATGTGGCACCAGCCATCCATTCCCAACACTCTCAGTACAAGGTAACTATCACTCTATGCAGGGCCTTCTCACTGGGTCGCACCATCATCCTTTCCTCCCTATGTACTATCTTGTCAACTACATATACATTTCTGACAGTTCCTTATCTTATGATACATCAGTTTATTCAGTTCAAATACCAGTAAGATATTTGCTTTTGTAAATATATCACTTTATTTTAAATCTAATTTTGTAGCTACCCATTCTTAGAAAGAGTAAGGTTGTTCACCATAAAAGAACACTTAGTACTGAAAATAAAAATGTGTACTGCTTTGTATTCTGAAAAGAAACTATTAACTTCTTGCTCCATGACATCTGGTTTCTGCAATAATATCTTTCTAAATCAGCTAGTCTGTTGTCTGCTATTTCCCCTTTGATTTACCACCTGAGGGGTTAAACACACTGACATTACAAAAACCTCAAGTCTGGATGACAAACTAACAGGGCAAATCCCAGATACACGGTGGCCCCCATGATGTCTACAACATCCTAGTTCAATCTGCAGTTTTGTGCAGGTTAGGATCAGGTCATCCTTCTAAAATTTTCACTTTCTTCTTCTTCTTCGCGTTCAGTGGCTGTAAACTCCAGAAGAAAATTTGAGCTGTTCATCCACTTCTGGACTCTAGTCAGACTGTTCGTTCCTTGCCTCTCAGGTAGATATACTCCAACTTCAAAGGAAGATCCCAATTAGTCGACTCTTACAACATACTTTTGGATAGGCAGTGGGTCTATTCTCATTTTCCCCACTATGGGGCCCTGGAACCCACATGGGGAAATTTTCACTTTAAATGATGTGTACCATTCATAATGTCATAAATTAAGAACATTTTGACATGCTGTTTAGTCTTTCCCTTGATTAAATTCTGCCTTCAACCATAAAAGCCAATTTTGAAAAACTCTAAACAAGTCTGACATTTTTCTTTTAAATTTAAGGCCTAGGCTTTTTTTAGAGATAGAGGCAAAATAACTTGCTTGTCAGCTGATTGCCACTTGTTTAAATCCCCTTCAAAACAGTTTTTTTTTAAAAACCTACAGAAGCATTGGCTTCCATGTTGACTGAGACTAGGATGAGCACTAAGAAATATCCTAAGAGATAATCAGGTATTTAAATTTTAAACTTCACAGCAAGTGGGTTATTTGACAGTTGCTCTGATCCTGTGAAAATAAAACCATATTGAATGTCCATCACTGTCCCTTGCGAAGAAACTAACACAGTCAGCAGTCTCAGAAAAGTCAGGAAAGCACACACATGCATTAAATACATAAGGCAGCCATCGTAAGTGCCAACCAAATCAGTCAGGCACTAGAAATGCAGTTCGTTATCGATGGAAGCAGCAGTTACATCAAATCAGTTGATACACATGCAGTTAACTGCATAAGGCACCACCAGTTTTCTAGCAACAGGCCACTTCTGAGAAGTAATGGCAGCTGATGTGACACTGACTTCACCACCCAACAAGTGCCATCAAGACTTTTAAATTTTTTAAACAAGTAGCTAGCACTATATTGCTCATGCATTATCAGGGCCTGCAAGGAAAGTAGAGGGAATTAACTAAAGGACATACAAATTGCATCAGATTTCTAATACGCCTTCTGCAGTTGTCTTGGGATTTATAGTTGTGCTAGGTCTTACAATTTTGTAGAGGTTTGCAGCTGTGTTATGGTATTCAATTGTGTTGGTATTTCCAGCTATGTTAAGGGTTTCAACTGTGTCGAAATTTACAGTTGTGTTCAGATTTAAAGCTGTGTTGAGATTTACAGTTGTATTCAGACTTACAGCTGTGTTCGGATTTATAGTTGTGTTCAGATTTACAGTGGTATTCAGATTTACAAAAATTTAATTTACTGAACATAACATGTCTTAAATATAACAATCAATCTTACATGTTTCATATCATTTTTCCATCCACCTGAGTACTCTTTAGTAAAGCCTCCTTTGCCATCAGCCCGAGTGAGAGTTCCAAAGCCACTCCTCTTTCCTTTCTTCCAGTCTCCATCATAGACTTTATTTGTGTCTTTCCAGCGAAATGTACCTTTCCCTGAATATAGAATCAGCAGTATCAGATAAATAGTTTGAATATTTACGGATCATTTCAATCTTCCAACACTTCCTCAATCAGTTAGGTGCATTCTCCACAATGAAGTTTAGCAATAAGGATATCTTCATCAACCTCCAAATACTGCCTTTATTTATTATACAACTTTTGTGGTGTAGGAAGGGGTCTTTGACCTCAGGATTTAGGGCTGCATGGCTAGTGCTGTCGCCTGGGACTGTGCAGGTGAGAATTTCATTTTGTCCCCGACAGAAAAAAATCCCTAACCTTACTAAGGATTTAAACCCGGCTCTCTCGCATGACAGCCCAGCATTCTAATCATTCGGCTAGCCACTCCTCTCATATCTTCACCACTGCCACTAAATGTAACGATGTCACTTCACTCTAAAAGTAATTTTATAACTCTGTATCCGCTCATTCTTAGAACATTAATAAGATGGTTTGCTTATACTTTCCACATCACCATAAAGGTAAAGATAAAATGACAGAATTGACTTAATTGCACCAGGCTTTAGCCCATATGGCTCAGTCTTTCTGTACAGAACAGCTAGCTGCCTGCCGAGAGCCTCACACAAAAGATGGCTTCCGCAGCTCTGGCAATGACCCCCAGGTACGTCCGTAAAAATTGTACTCGTGAACTGAACGGAGCCCCTGTGAAACCAACCCATGACCTTCAGAGCACGAGGCAAATGGCTTGACCACTTTGCCACAGATACCCCTCATGTCACCATAATAGAACTATTGGTACTGGAAATAAAAATGTGGAATATTTTTCTATTCTTGAAAAGAAAGGATTCACTTCTTGCTCTGTGACATCTGGTTTCTTCAATAATATTGTTCAACATCTGCCTGTTTTTGCCATTTAGATCTGCTATCTGAAGGGTTAACAACATTGAAATGATATTAACCTCAAGCCAATCAGACAAATCTCAGATACCTGGTTCAACCTTAATAGAAGTTATAAGTGGTTATAGAAAGTATAAAATCTTGCTATTAACAGTCCTGTGGCTGAATGAGGTGTGTTCATGGCGAAGTAGTCAAGCCATTTGCCTCGTGCTCTGAAGGTCATGGGCTTATTTCACGGTGGCACCATTCAGTTCACGAGTGTAATTTTTATGCAGATCCTTGGGATCGTTGCTGGGGCTACTGTAGGCAGCTAGCTGTTCTGTGGAGAGGAGATGGAGCCATATCGGATAAAGCCCAGTGCAGTGAAGTCAATCTTCTCACCTTTACATTTATAGTAAAAATGTGTTGAAGTTTCCAGCTGTGTTGAGATTTACAGCTGCATTCAGATTTACAGTTGTGCTGAAACATTCAGTTCAATTACTGCTATCATTATGATGGAGATAGCAGTTGTCAAAGGGGTACTTGAATGGCTGGTAGAACAGCAACAACTCCCACGTTTATAGTTTAAGATGCAGTCAGTATGCTCAAGAAGATCCACTGCCCAATTCTGACTAGAATAGTTTGACAGCATTCAAAAGTTATGTCTCAAGAAACTATCTTGGCTGTACACACAAGGACTTGCTGGGGTGTAAGGAAAGAGAAAAGCTGACTGATTAGCTGCGTCAACAACAGTTAGTGCAGGAAGAAGACTGGACAGATCAGACATATTGAATGCACTGTATTCCACAGAAACTGAGACAAACGAATAAAAAAAAAACAACTAATAGCTGCCAGCTGAAAAGGTCCCTTTAGGCCTTTCAAGCATATTGGAAACATAAAGCTAGACTTATATTTTTAAAGATCAATCAGCACTTGGTGGGTGATGTGGTCAGCACCATGCCGGCCACCTTTACTTTTCCATTACTGCCCCTGGTACCCACGTAAGTCTGGATTGACCTGGGAGTCAAGGTCATTTTTGAAAAATGTCTGGTTCTGTCAGGACGCGAATCCACGACCTTTTGATGCACAGGCAGGTGTCTAGCTGCCAATACCATGGTGACTCCTAGCTGATAACGGGTACTGAATGAGGACAATCATGCACAAACTGGTTGTGAGACGATGAAAGAAGATATGCCAGTCAACTCCTAATGGGTATGGTAAGCATGGATATGCTAAGACAAGCCTACTCAACTGGCAGACCATGGGCTAAATGTGGCCCATGGAGGACTAGCAAGTGTACTGCATGCAGTGCCAGCTGTATTGTATTAATTGATCTGTATGCTGGGGCCTTGGGTCTCTGGCCAGTGACGATCCCCATTTTGCTGGCCCCTGAGTAAACTTAGTTGAATAGCCCTGTGCTAGCATGTTGATACTCATAACAAGTAATGAGGTATACGTTTAATAGCATGTTACGTCTTATTCTTCTATTGCATCTCTCTCTCCCTCTCTTTGTCTGAGCAGTTACTTTAACTCATTCTAGCACATATCTGTAATATATTAATGAATTTAGAGTAAGTAAGATTCAAAGACTGTCATACTACAGAATGAATCACTTCAGAAATAAAATCTTGTAGTTGAATCTGTCTGGGACTGAAAGAATTAAAGCCATAATGACTGGGATCTGATCACTGAGGCGGCACGCAAGCCAGTGTTCTGTCTAGCGCATCGCTCCCACCACTCTATAACTATAAAGAATAACAAGTGAAAAATGCAGAAGACCCTTTTCACTCCAGTGACACTTTGAACAAATGGTGCTCGATTTATATTTATAGACCAATTAGCACTTGACAGCTGCTGTGATAAACATCACCCAGCCGCCTTTACTTTTGTTGGAAGTTCCTGGCACCCATTTAAGGCTTGGTTCACCAGGCAACAAAGGACTAAGGACCTTATTAATTTTTTTTAATGGCAAATCCACCCCGTGCGGACTTGAACCCAAGACTGTCGGGCAGTCAATTGAGATTCCAGCTGCTACATCGGCTCATCGCCAACTATCGTATATAATGAAATAAGAGTCCCCCCCCCCCCCCAAAAAAAAAAAAAAAAATATGTATTGGTAGATTGTAAGTTTCATATACTATATGATAAAGTATACTAACCGTGTTTCAAATTGTCAAGCCATTCCCCTGTGTACTCATTCCCGTCAACGGAATAAATAGTGTGGCGAATGCCTTTCTTCTGTGCTAAAAAATTCCATTCTTTCCACAAAGGTTCGCGCGACTTTGGTTCGTGTAAAAACGGCATGATGTTTTTTGTTGATTAATTTCTTGTCCAAATGTTGTCAGAGGACAAATGCACTATTTGATGTTGCCAGTGCTCGAGAGGCCCGAAGCAAGGCATTCGTTACACGGACATAAAACTACATCTATCCTCTTTTACTTCCGCTATATGTTATTGTGTAGCAATGGCGTTGCTATGATATAAGGGGCATATAACTCTTACTTAAATTGTAAAAGTAATGTGTTATATCAATTGAGGCCCTTGTCTTTGATAATTAATTTTAAAACAAAATTAGAAGAGAGGAAATTGTGAAATGCGAAGAAATCAGAAAAATGTTTGGACAACTACTGGTATCAACTGTTATGAGAGAAAAAAGAATTGCGATATAGTTGGCACACAGAATCAATAAACGGCACTGAAATTGAAACAAATGTAGTGAGGAAATCATCATCATGTAGCAGGTCCTGTGCAGAACGTCGCTCTCATCACGGTCTGCCTGCAAGAAAATCGGTCACTCGCCAGCTCTCCTGCCGTATGCCTGTGCCCATCTTCGTGTCGGTCGGCCCCTGCCCCTCCTTCCCTGTACCATGCCTTCTGCTATAATTTTTTTTTCCAATCCGTCGTGGCGCTTGATATGACCAAAATATTTCAGCTTCTGAGATAGGATGCTGTTTATTAGCCAACCTTTCCAGATGTCAGTATTTCTCATCTTTTTCGTCCAAGTTATTCTGAGAATCTTTCTATAGCATTTCAGCTCAAAAGCCCCTATTCTCTTTTTTTAAGGACTGGGACTGACTGACTGACTTTCTACCCCACCAGGACATCACACAAGCGATAAACACCCGATGACACAAAGTGCCACCATGCGGATGAGGATCGCCGTGGAGAGGTCCCAGAAACCGCGTTCAGACATTTGGCCATATTTATGGCCTGCCTATATTGCGGCCCCTGGCAAAAGCCAGGGTGGGGCTTCAAATAACAAAAAATTTCGTCCTAAAAAGGACGAAACTGGATTAGACAAGGACTGGGAGATATTCCACGACTGACATCGGTATGTTGCTACAGGGAAGATGCATGCTCTCAAAATTCTAATTGATCATAGACTTTTTGGGCTGTTTAATCTTTGCATTGCTATGGCCATCTTCCTTTTAATTTCTGGCAAACAGTTTCCATTGGTATTTATTATAGAGTTCAAAGTTTGTGACATTTTCAATTTTTTTTAACCATTTATTGTTATTTTTGGTGACAGGAAGTTTTATCTGTGGTCACTATTATCGTGTTTTTTTTAATTCAAGAACAGATTTTGATCTTCACTGTGCTTTTGGACAAACAATATTAAATTTTCTATTCCCTTTACGCTGTCATCTGCGTAGCGAAGTTCCGGAATAGGATTGCCACCAATTTTAGGTGGATCATAACTGTCACAAGTCTGGTCATTTTTTACATTTCTCATTAGATTTTCTGCGTATATATTGAATAGGTATGGTGAGAGAATGCACCCCTGCCTCACTCCCATTTGCACCTCGAACCAGTCCGATGTTTCACCAGCTGCTCTGATGGCTGCTTGTTGTACTTGATACAGACTTTCAATTAAATGCACCAAATGAGATGGAAACCCCATACTTCTCATAAAAGTCCACAGTTTTTGATGTTGGACACAGTCAAATGCCTTGCTATAATAAGTAAATCAAGCATGAAGATCTACGTTGTATTCTCTACATTTTTAAAAAATTATTCTTATATTAAAGATGTGATCGCTAGTTCCTCTACCCTGTCTGAAACCCGCTTGTGCTTCATGTAGATCATATTGTCATTTCCTTTCAACCCTCTTCATAATAATTAGTAAGAGGATTTCGCAAGCATGACTTATCAATGCGATGGTACGGCAGTTCAAGTCCGGCTGTATATTATTATTTATATCTAGAGTTTGCCGTGGGTAGTTGAAGCATAGTTTTTGATTTCCTTTCTTTGGGAGTGGGATATAGAATGTTCTTTAGGATAAATGTAACTGTTCTAGATCTCTGTGCACATTGCATGGTAAATTCAGGAGCTGGCCTCTCCTCCTGCTTGAATTAGTTCTGCTGGTATTTCGTCGCAGCCTGGCGACTTTCCTTTCTTTAGGCTGTGAAAAAATAAGAATGCAAAAACACACACACAAACAATCCACAACAACATTTGATGAGACAGACTTGAGGTGCTAGACTGGTTTTTATTGAAAATATATTAAACGATTGTACAGGATATACTGGAATGAAAAAACGGACTGTGAGCTCTATGTAACGTAAAAACAGCAAATGACGATGACGAAGATGGTGATAGTAGTAGCAGAAAAAAAAAGAAGAAGAAGAAGAAGAAGAAGAAGAAGAAGAAGAAGAAGAAAAGAAGAAGAAGAAGAAGAAGAAGAAGAAGAAGAAGAAGAAGAAAGAAGAAGAAGAAGAATGAATGATGATGATGAAGAAGAAGAAGAAGAAGAAGAAGAGAAGAAGAATAAGAAGAAGAAGAAGAAGAATGAAGAAGAAAAGAAGAAGAAGAAGAAGAAGAAGAAGAAGAAGAAGAAGAAGAAGAAGAAAAGAAGAAGAAGAAGAAGAAGAAGAAAAAGAAGAAGTAGTAGTAGTAGAAAAAGAAGAAGAAGTAGTAGTAGTAGAAAAAGAAGAAGAAGAAGAAGAAGAAGAAGAAGAAGAAGAAGAAGAAGAAGAAGAAGAAGAAGAAGAAGAAGAAGAAGAAGAAGAAGAAGGGGTAGGAGACTGAGGAGAAAGATGCACTGTACAACTTTGTTGTTACCTGTGTGTGTGTCTGTGTGTGTGCTTTTTTAAAGCCACTTCGCCCGTCCTCTGTTAAAATCGTTCGAAACCGGGCTAACGACACTTTGACGCAGCGATTCTCAAACTGGGTCCCACGGCAATAACCGAGAGTTTTTTCAAAACTGCTTAACATTAAATTTGCACTGTGTTTTTTTTTTTTTTTTTTTTTTTTTTTTTTTTTTTTTTTTTTTAAATTTCTTCTTCTTTTCTTAAGTATTCAACCCGCTTTAAGGATAGGTGTGCCTCGAAATGTTGTTCTGTCTGACAAAAAAAGTTTGAGAAACGCTGTGTTAACATACCCTTAACCTCTTAGTGACGTCAGCAGCATGGCCCATCAGCTGAATCCGGTCTTGGTCAAGCACACCAAGTAGTGACCTGAGAGTAAATAGTCAGTCACCCGGTTTAAAAAGTTCTACCTCGCTCATACACTTGCTGGACTGAAAGGCATGCATCCCCATAATGGACGCTCATTTGCTGATGCCTTTCTCTAGGTTTCACCCGTCACTGATTCAAAATTGATAACAGAACACTGCTCCTCTTTGGTGCAAGTCAAAAGTGTGTTGACAATCTTTAAACTATTATAATAAGATCTCATGTTCGTCTGCACCGTGATGTCACATGCTTAACACTCTTGACATCCTCAACAACACTATTGACAGGCTACACGACATTGGCATGACTGCTTTTCTTTTTGTCACACCTTCAAGATTTTCATGCCCCATTCAGAATAGCAGGCATCTCTTCAGAGGTCCCAGGTAGGTGGCGTTCTTTGGTTATTTTCTCCAGGTTATGCTGGTTGTGTTGGGAAACAAGCAGTAAGATAGACCGACAGGTTCTGCAGCACTTGGTGGTGAATAAATTTATGCCAAGCTAAATGTTGTGAGGGCTCTTTGGGAGTGAGTGAACAGTGCGAAAGAAGAAATGAATAATTATGGTCTGAGGAGAATGGCGCTGTGGGGAGGGGATCTGGCCAACGCTCAACACTCAATGGAAAGGCAAAATAGATGTACAATCAACCAGTTAGTGGTAGCAACAGAATTGAAACTCTTCACTTGTTGCTGAAGATGGTGGATGGCACATTTATGGGAGTGTCCCGAGTGCTGTGATGTCAATTCAACATTTTAGGTTTTCATTGTCCCGAGTGCTGTGACGTCAATTCTTAATTCAACATTTTAGGTTGTTTTTTTTTTTTGAAGCCCCTTGCATATAAAAAAATATCTTGTACATGGCTAGTGGGTTATAATCAAGTCTATTTTTCAGACAATAGAAATTTATAATTTTCTACAAAATACTTTTGTTCATTTCATACATGCCAGATAGTTGTAGTATTAATACTGTGCTATCCACCCACTAGTACAACCACAGTTTTGTAGTAAATGGCTTTCTCTTTTTCTTTTGCCATCAGCCATATAACATAACCCTTGACCCATTAGGGTCGTGGAGGTGTATTGATGGAAGCACTAGCACATAAAACCCACCATCTTTCTCTGTTCTGCTTGATGAATGAGTGTGTGAAAACCTAATCCTGTCTATTTTTTGATGTTGTCATTCCAGATTCTTCTTTGCCCTCCTCTTCTTCGACTACCCCCCAATGTTTTTTGAAGTACAGTCTTTGCTATCGAATCATGTCTCATCATGTCTCAGCCATGAAAATCACTAAATCCCATCTGTTCACGAACAGGACAGTGCATTTAAGGGTACTGCCAGTCTCCAGTGTCTTGACTTAAAATGCAACTCCACTGGGCCAGATCCCCAACATCAGCAGGCAGTAGTTAAGACAGACGTGCAGTACACACTTGGGAATAAATGGCTTCTGTAGTGGGCTCCAGGCCATCATCGTGAGGAAAACAAGAATAGACCCACTGGCTTTCCAACGAGCATGCTGTAACTAACTGGAGGCTTCCTTTGAAGTCAGAGTGCATATGCCTGAGAAGCAAGGAGTAAACAGTCTGCTTATAAATAAGTCACATATGTCAAATGGATGTTGCATGCAAAACTCAGGTTTTGCAACAAGACTAAAGTCCAGAAGGGGAGGAATAACCAAAAGCTTTCACTGGAGTTTACAGCTTGTGAATGTGAAGAAGAATAAATATTGATCACTTACATGTGAATATTTTATATATACATATATATATATATATATATATGAGCTGGGGCACATTTTTTTGCTTCTGCCAGACAGTGGCCGCTGCAGTTTTGCTCCATTTGTAGACTGGATATAGT